CCTTTAACGCAATGTGTTTCTTTTAAGCAGTTGCAACAAACAAGAACAAAATAATACAAGAATGTGAACATTATAAAATTGATGATTTTCTTCGTAGATATAACATCAACAGATTTTATTAGGGCTGGGAATTTTATTCGAATATTCGAATATTCGAAACACCACCGAATATTCGAACATTGAAAAACGAATACGAATATTCGAAAAAAAAGAGTTTTTTTGTCAGTCATTACTTTCAAATTTCAATTAAGATCGTATATTAAACCCTTGACATTTTACTTGACCAGGTGTTCATATGTTTGTATGACGCGTGTCAACGATTATCGCCAAATAACTGTGAAAACTTTGGGGTCTAGTTGATCAAAAGGGCACCCGTTTCACAGTTTGCAATTTACCTGTTTAACAGTTCATAATCTAATTTTTCCGATTTTAAATATATTACTTTATGGTTTTAAGTGCTATAATATTTCCGATCATCAATAATTGTCTTAAATTATGTGAAGAAGAATAAATCGGTGCGTTATGAAAGCAGTTTAGTTTAGATTATTTGTTTATTTATTTACGTCTCATCCATGCATATTTACAATGTACTTAACATAAATACAGCAATAAAAAGCATGGCCAGTCTATCATAGATTTATAGGAGACTATCGTTAAATAACTTAAATATACTGATTAAAATCAGAAATGAAAATAAAGGCATGGGAAGTGTCGATATTCGGTCCCGTAGACATTAGACACCGTGTGATATTTACTGCGTTATAGCTAAATTTATCTGAAGAATATTTTAAACCTTATCTAAAATTATTATAATTATAAATAAAAGAACATATTTGATACAAATTAAGTTTCAATATACATGTAAATATGTGTTATTTGGGCTAAGAGGCTACGATGATTCATGTTTTTGTCAGTCGAGTCAGCAGAGTTACCTCCCGTTAATAGAACAAATGATCAGCAGTCGAATTAATTGAACAAAAGACAATCAAATTATGAAATTATTTCAAAAGTAAACATATTTATCGATTTAAAGTTAATACAATAAAATAAATTAACATAGTATTAAAGGTCTTTTGAATCATCGATTATTCCAAGTAAATTAAAGTAGAATAGTATTCGACACAATCAATTTCGGATACGTATACGTCAAAGAAAACGAATATTCGAATATATTCGAATATAGAAAACGAATATTCGAACATCGAATTCCTTATTCGTTCCCAGCCCTAGATTTTATAAATCTTTCGTTAACCAAATTTAGTTCTGTTCACCTTTAAAGGTTAATTACTATTGATAAGTGATTTACTATAATAAACATTTTTGTTTGGCTCCCAGACAAGTATATTTTGATTCTCGGTAAAGCTGGATTACGTTGAATAAACCATTTTTCTTATAAAACTCAATCTAAAATGTCTGGAAAATGGACAAATTTTTGTCAAGTTTTTCTTTAGATTGTATAATGAGACGGAACGTATATACGTTATATTAATGGCGACATTCTTCTGTGGTGTGACAAAATATACATACATAGAATGTTGCTCATGCACTCTGCCTAGTAAACATTTGTTTAAAAAAAATGAATGACGACAACATTAGAACACAACTTTAACTTTTGTATGAATATAGTTAAACAAAATTATGTATATTGTTAAGCAGTAAAAATGATATTCTTATACTAAATAAACTTCTTATATTTTAGAACAATAAAGGAAGACAATCTTATTGGAATTTAAATAAAAACATTTTGTTGACACCTGACATGTTAACAGCATAACAATTTACATTGGGTATGTTTAAATCATACTTGATTCATCTCAAAAGTATTTATTGTGTACACACCAATTGTTTTTGTATTGTACATTTATGTGTCAAGGGCCAGTGACCTATATCATGAATAAATGAGTTTATTTGAGTGAAACATTGACAATTACAGAAATGACATCTCGTTATTCTGACAAACAAACCAATATACCACTTACCTGTAGAACTTGTATCAAAATTGTTGCATGTCACACATCCTTTAAGAAGCAAAATAAAACAATCGATTTGCCCTGGAAAAAAATCAGTCCTTTTTATGTTGTTTTATCGTAAATATTTAATTATGAATTGATGGATATATCTTTACTGTTCCATTTGTGATCATTGGTATTACTATTTTAAGATAAAACTGCTGGTATTGACTTTTACATTGGATATCTATGTTTTTAGCCGACAGGTTTAACTTACATTATTAAATATTCAGGAGTAGAAGCATAACATAACGGCAAGATGATTCTATGAATTTCAAACATTGAAAGTAACGAAAGAAGATATCAGCTAATTTGTTATGGAAATATTAGCTTATAGTTTAGACTTACACAAAGATGTTGCAAAATTCATCAATAGATGTTGCGTGTTTGTGATGTCGCAAGAACCTCTACTGTAGTGCTAATCCGGGCTTTATCTATGTTCATTACGTCAGTGTTAACATACCATTACATCTCAATAAGAAGATTACTTAACGTCTGTCTTGTCGATCTTCGTTCTAATCCCGAAATCCAGACTAAAATATGCCATCCAGTTATGGTCGACATTTCTTTTGAATTCGTAGTTTGCCAAGTTTAAAAAAACATATTCGATTGTGTCTTATTATGCTATCCAAACTCTAATACGTTAAGATAACATACAAATAATATACCAGTACATTGTAAATTATTTATTGAAATTTGTGATATTGTAACACATATTTGGATAATACAAATCTTTTGTTATGTCAATGAATTTGACCGTTGACCGTTGAATTTTAGGAGGGTGTGTAAATATGTAGTGGAAACAGACGAATTGCATAAACACATGTAAACATGTTTCTATAAACTGCTCTTCAGCTGATAACTCAAATCTTCATGCTTCCTACATAAGATATATAAGGATGGGTCAATATGTAATGCAATATGAAAACTATTTCCTTATTTAGCCTGTGATTATTTGTGTATGGTTTTAACTATGTTATTTTTCAAAGCAATTGCTTCTAAATAATACAAAGATCATGCGTGTAGTCAACCGATAAAGAATTTTATTCACATTTAAAAAAAACTTACACGAGCAACCTCGACCTAAAATATCACTGGTAAACTCTCAGATAAAAGTGCTGAGATACAGGCTTACATAAAAGCTCGAGCAAAACTTGGAGAAGTATGTTAAAGCATTCAAAAATTTGATTAAACTTTTTGCTAATTTTATTGACCATATAACATATTAATCAACCCTCGTATCGCTACAGAAAGAGAAAAACAATTTCACTCATAGGTTATCTCATAATAATAAAAAAGTCATTTTAATCTGAATGCCAAGTACCTCTATTATTATGTCAAATAAAACAAGTTCTCCGAGGATTTTGCAACAGTCATTGTTTTGGCGTAACCATTCAACAGACAGCAGTATCTAATATAAGTTTAGTGCGTAATACACCGTGATAGTTCTAAAAGGCTGCCTTCCAGATCAAATGTACTTTAAATTGTGATTCATTAACATTTAGAGACATTCTCAAAGCACTTATTTCCTTGAGTCGTTGATAATAAAATAGATTAACAATTTGACTGACGTAGTTTAAAACTACTGGAAAGTATCTAACAAAATAAAAACCAGTATGAAGCCTGATGAGACGCTTATATTTAAAGCATTATTTCTCTGGTACATTTTTGTAACACACTTTCAAATCAGAATCAAACAAAATGAGACACTTGTTTTCAAACATTATTTCAACGTTAACACATTTTCAGACAGTAAAGGCAGTTTAAAACATTTTACCACGAACATATTTCGAGATCTTCATTTTCTATCAAAATAGCTATAGCTGTGTTAGTTTCAAACTCTGACTGTGACTGTTTTAATGTAATTATTAACAACAAATATACATAGTCTGGTGCCTTATGATCGAATAAGCTGATATTGGATCAACAAGGCAGGACAGTTTTCAAACAATTCACAGTTGCACAAGAATACAAGTAAGGCACCGGCGTTGTAACAAAGGACACAGGGACTGTGCAAGAAGGGGAAATTTTATCTAAGTAGCATCGTTTTTGTTCCTTGTAGCATCTTTTAATGTTACATCATTTACGAGTATACACACAAATCATTGTCTTCATTTAAGGAACTTATTTCTTGTCCGGCGTTTCTGACATAATGCACAAAGAGTTACCTAAAGTTTGCCCCCACCATAACAGCTGAAATGTCTCCATATGACCTTGCTGGTGTCGGTGGCTTTGTAATGCAACCAAAGAAACAAACATTAACAGAATCACATGCTTTTAACATTCCAAAATTTGTAATACTTCATTTAATTCTGTTTTCCGTCTTATAAAAATACTTTTTGACTTTGAATTTTTCACACAACACAACGATAAACTTAAAATTCTATTCATTTATTCAGTGTTCGTATTTTAATGATATTACATACAGAAGCTTTCATCAAGTAAATGAACTTTTATCAAATATACGCTGTATCTGAAATGAAAGGAGACGGAAGGAATATTCTTAATAATATACCAGTTTACAGTTTGTATAAACAAAGCGACAATTTATGCGTGCATCAATATTTCATACTTACCTATCTCGAAACAAATGTGTTATATTTTAGTGAATGCATCTGAATCACTAAGGAACTATTCTATCAATAATAGCATGGAAAACGTATTTTAAATAAATGTTTGAAATCATATTTGTGTCCACGGTGCAATTTAATTTTGATAATTTATTACATCACTATTGTGACACTTTTCTATTTTTAATTTTTCTAATGCATAATGTATACGAAAAACACAAGTATATTGCAAATATCGTGTTACGTTCGCCGTTATTACTTGTTTTAACATATCATCATATCATTATCAAATGCTCAGACCTGACTTTCTATTTTATGTATTATATTTTCACGTAAAGACAAGATCGTAAGTTTTTTTCCACTAAAATCTATTATTTGTTAGACAAAAGAAGATTCGGTATTTTCTTCTCTTTACTTGCAGGTATTAGCCAGTATTGATTAGGAGACAGCCGAGAAACAGCAGTAACTTCTAACAACAGCGGCGGATATATCAAAAAATTATTAAGACTTTTAAAGATCGTGAAGTTGTACTAAGAAGTTCTTCAAAAAGAATAATATTGCTGAAATAAATGCGTCACCAAGTTATATCAGACCGATTGTGTTTTTAACCATATGTCGCGATTTTCTTGAACAAGAAGTGATTACAACGTATTAATCAATTGGGCAAGTAAATGTATTTTTATTGGAAATAGGAGACTTCCCGCTTGAAAAATTGGACTAAAGTTGGCGGTGCATGAATCAAAGGGATTTTCGATACTTCATTAGAAGGAATTGGTGTGTATTGAACTTAGGCGATGGATCAGCGCTGAAGTGTTATTAGGTGTTACGATGTCAATGAAACAACAAATAATGTCTTTAGAGGGAAATTCTATTTATTCAGTAAAATATGTTATGTTGTCATTCTTTTTTGTTTTAATTATTTATGATAAAGTTAATTGTTCAAAATTTGATGGAGTTACAGATGTAAATAATATAACAGTTGGATATTTAACAGTTGACAAAACGTTGAACTTTATGCGAGGAAAGCAAGGTCGTGTTATTTCTGGTGCAATTTCATACGCATTAGAATTAATAAATAATGACACAAATATTTTACCTAAACATCGATTAAATTTGATATGGGGAGACACTATGGCAGATACGTTAATTGGAACTAGACTTTTGACTGACCAGTGGCGCAGAGGGGCAACAGTATTTATAGGTTTGGAAGATAGCTGTAGTGTGGAAGCCAAAGTAGCTGCCGCCTGGAATCTGCCAATGATATCATACGTAAGTTTCACATTTTATAATTAACCACACCGTGTACGAAAATAGATATATTGTTTGGTTATATCAATCACAATGGTTATTATCGTTATGTATACACATAAACAATAGTTTTCAAACTTTTACTACAACAAATTGTGGTTATTTTAACTCTTTAATATACACTATTTCTTTATCGTTATAATCTCGTTTTATATCACACTCAGACCTTTAAGATATATGATACATAAACTTCAATGTTGCGAGAATGTGAACAAAGCATAATCATTTACCAGCGGTTGATTCAAAATAATTTGTAAGAAGTTTTAGTGATGCTGCCAAAATGATAAGATTATGAAAATACATTGTGCTGATTAATTTAATGTACACAAAGTATACAGCTGTGATAAAACTTGAAACTTGTATAAACTTCCTTCAATTCAAACAATAATGTTTCTTGTTATACAGCTGTTCAAACTGCATCTTTATGGTTTCCCTCTTCTTGCTGAAACACATGATAAGCAAAAGCGCTTATTAACTATTATTTTGTTTTGATGATTACCATATTTTATTAAAGAGAAACATGTCATAACTTTCTAGCGTATGCATATTATATAGCATGCAACTGGACACTTTATGCAAATAAACACATAAATATGAATAAAGGTTAAGCGGACAATCGTAACCAACATTTAAAATTTTTTTAAAAAGCGTAAAATAAACCCAAACATTAAAAAAAGTCAATCAAAATTCTGGATATTGAGTGTCAAAAAGCAAAACAGTTAAAACATATCAACGAAGATGCTTTTTGTAATGAAGATGATAACATAAAATGACCTGAATACTATCAAAGTTGGACATCACGTTCTATATTTTCGTAAGTTTTGTTAACAATCGGAAATATTTATCTAATGATTAAGAACTACAATTTTATTATCAATTTTACAATTCTTTTTTAGTCTACCTGTAAGCTTTTTTGTCCAACATAAATGTTTATATATTTTTTTCTTATTATTTTTCTTCTTCTTCTTCTTATTATTATTATTATTATTATTATTAATGTTGTTATTATTATTATTATTGTTTTTGTTGTTATTATTATTATTATTATTATTATTGCATTCGTTAGCTTATGATTTCAGGAAAATTTAAAATACAACTTATATTGAGCAAGACATGTGTAAGAGTGTAAGAGTTAAAAAGCTCTTCATTTAATATTATAAATTTTAAATATATTTGTAATTGTTAGTGTCTTTATGTATGGAACTATATTATAGCAGATGAAAAAAAAACTGCATGTCAAATATATAGTTTATCAGCATATTATCTTAAGTGTCTTTTCTATATGTATCTTTCATAGTGTGTATCTTTGTGGGTTTTTACTAATTCCTTTCTTTTCTTTGTTTATTCTAAAATAATTCATTTCTACATTTCAAAAAACAGGAAACTATATGATGTAAAATGAACTGTTTTGGTAATAACTATATTTCTTCAGATGATGTAAGTAAAGTGTCTTTAAGGAATAGAGTAATTTTCCTAATTAAAACCGTGTGAAAGATATATGAAAAATCATACATCTGAATTTTCTTTCTACTCGAAATTGAAACATATACGGAATCGTCGATGTCTTCACCAAATAAAGAGCCTTTAAAATTACCAAGTTCTAATTAATAGGATTGGGAGAATAAAGCCTTAGGTATTGCATTAGGATCGTGTACAATTAGAGGTACTTTTCTATTTTCTTGATGCTTTCCAGCCAGAAGGAATTTACGCCTGATGTAATGACAAAACAAAATCTACAGACTGTAAAATACTTTGGACATCTCAAAAAACAAGAATTGAAGACTCCCTGGAGATAACTGCTTAGCACTGTGTTTCTACGAAACAGTAGACACGCTTTCTTAGATATCTTATTTTATCCTACGTGAGGTAATAAGCAACATTTTTTGTGAATATTGAAAATAATCCTTTGTACAAAGACTGACCCCAGTCTTCATTAATTGAATTTACATTTCCTTTGATATTTAAGATAAAAGATAGTATCACCAAGCATACTTAGTAATTTGATCCTCAATTATTCTGGTTGGATGGAAATAATTATCTTTCATTATGATTTAGAGAAGAACATCGGAATAACTTTTTCACTGTAAGGTCAAAAGTACGATGTTTACATATTGTAGGACTACAAAAACGTATTACTTTCATGTTTCGACATCAATATCCTAAAATATAAAAGCTATATATAATTTTTGTTCTATATTGGTGTTTTGATGTCGATTAATGATGAATGGATGATAACTTGGGTTTTATACAATAATATGATAATTTAGCTGTGTTTAAGGGATGCATCATAAGTATGTAGCAAAATATTATACGTTTGAGAAAAATAAGAATATAATCATAAGGATTTGCTTTTATCATTTAAACGTTCTGTCAAAGTCTTATATTCAAATACACATCAAAATGTTCCAAATGAAAGGCACCGGATAACATATAAAGGATTCACTTTTAATGTGCATAGAACAACAAATGTTTGTAGACAGTCAGTACAAAAAGGTAATACGATAAATGGCAACTTTTCAACATGATTATACAGGAACAAATGAAATAAAACTTTTTCAATTGAGTTTATGCAGTTCAATAATTTGCATACTGAAAGAGCGCAAATTGTTTCCCTTTTATTCGATTACAAAGAAAATCAAATTTATTTTACATTGAACAATGGCAAATAATGTAACAGGAATACCGCGAAGAGATATACGAGTTAAAGTTGTATCAATTTTATCTACATTGACATAATTGTTACGCTGCTTATAACACATAAATGTTCGTATTTCGTAAGTCGTCCCATGTACCCAACTTTCCTGAATAACTACCAAATTTCTTGCTAGTGAGCGACTTCTATTCCCAAATAAATCAATGGTTCCAAACAGGATACCATTATAAATGCCGAGCTCACTTGTCACGGAGAAGTTTACTTTTGCCAAAGGATCGAACTTGTGACTTCTCGATTACAAATCCAATGCTCTCCCTATTAAGCTTAACGGGGGATTGCAAACTATCATTATTAAATTAATTGAGAAAATTTTTATAAGAATATGTTCAAAGGATATTGAAAACAAAATGAGTTTATATTGCATTACCATAGTCTCTATTCATTTGATTGTAAAACATTGCGTCAAATTGTTATATACATGTTTGTGATCGTTATAAAAATAACGCCTCCGTGTTGTTTGATAAAAAAAAGAACAATTTATGTACCTTTCACAATCAACATTTTATCTCTTTATGTCTTGAACAAACTATTAAACATGTCATTAATATTTTATCATTTATGGATCCACAAACACCTTAAACGAGCTCGACAGGAAAAATTTGCCTGAGGTGTAACAATGTCTCATAAAAGAGCTACTTTAAGAAATCTCGATGATGAGAATTTGGACTAGTTCTAGAAAGCATCAATACATAAGATATCATAAGCTATGCTGATATTTAACAGCCTTAACATGTTCAAAACATGAGTAATTCTAAAGAAGAAATAATTTTGTGTATTTTTTTGTATTTTTATTTTGCATGTAACAAATTGGTACGTCTTTTGCCTAGGTCGGCTAATTTGTGTTAAAGCAAGTCATCGAAGATGTATTTAAAAACAACTTTTCCACAAATCAAGGTTCAATATAATAGCATAATATTGTAATAAATTATATTTTAACTACATGTATACTATATTTCTGTATCTACCACTTTTACAGAGATTTTAAGTCATTTTTCTCCTTGATGTGTTGAGATTAGTAATAAATGATGAGTTGGTAGATTAAACCTCAAAATCTTTTTTGTTTCTATTTTCGGAAATGTGCGCTTTATATATTCTTACTTTCCACCTCTTGTAAATTTTAATCTTGGCGTAATTCAGTGGTATATGTTACGTTATCGTGGCGGCTCTTGTTTACAATTTCGTAACACGAGATATAAATAATTCAACAAAACAGTCCTTATGTAGAGACTTCTTGTTATATTATGTTGTTTTATATCCAGACATAATAGCCCAAACACACGAATGTAAAGCCACAGAACACAATAGGTTTTTTTCCCTTTCTTTTTGTATGTACTTTAAATTGGCAGTATCTATATATAAGTACATGGTTCCATTTAACGTAAATTCTTTATTTATCTACATTTCTACTTATTATGAACACTGTTTATCCTTTTACTGTCTATTGTCTGTGTTTAAAGTGTGCAAATAATACAAGTATATGCACTGGAAATAAATTTGTTCAGAAAAGTAATAATGTAAAAAAATATGCAGTATAAAAGTGCAGCATAAATAGTTTATAAAAGATTCAAATGGTAATGTGACTAATTCATGGACAAAAAAACGTTATGAAAATGTTGTCTGATTTAGGTTTTGGAAATTTATGGAACAATGTTAATGTTACAAGCATCCAATTAAATAATATTATACAAAGAATTTATGATCAGCAATTACAACAATGGTGTTCTGAGCTTAGTAGTTTTCCTAAATTATGTAGTTACAATTTATTTAAATTTAACTTTATTCAAGAAAAGTACTTAGATGTTGTAAATAACATTAATCATCGTAAAGCATTATCAAGGTTTAAATGTTCATCCCATAAATTGTTAATAGAAGAAGGAAGATATAGAAATATTGATAGGAATTTACGTATATGTACTAAATGTAACATGAATCAAATAGAAAACTAATATCATTTCTTATTAGTTTGTCCATTCTATAGTGAATTGAGAGGTCAATGTTTTCCTCGGTATTATTGTCATTGGCCAACCATTAATAAATTTATATCAATTATGCAATCTTCGCAAAAGAAAATAATTGTTAATTTAGCTAAGTTTATCTATTGTGCTATGTGTAAGAGAAGCTCAAACAGTTGATTTTATGAATGTAGGTATTTGTTTCCATTGGCCAACCATATTCCATATTAATATATTCTTTATTTTCTTCTGTGACTCATACTGACATTTTGATATTTTGTAGTAGTTATGTTAAC